CGAGGGACCTGCACAAAGAGCACTATAAGGCATTGTTGAAAAAAAGAGAAGATAAACCAAGGAGTCACTGCTCATGGGCTAGAAGTTATTAAAATGGCCATTTTATCCAAAGCAATATACAGATTCAATGTAATTCCTACTAAGGCTTCAATGGTATTCTTCAAAGAAATTGAATATTACTGAAATTCATACAGAACCACAAAAGATCCCAAATAGCCAAAGACAGAAGAAAAACAATGGTGGAATCATACTCAGAGACTTCAAACTTTACTATAACGCTCCAGAAATCAAAATAGCATGGTCCTAAAATAAAAAACAGGCACACAAACCAATAGTCTAGAATCGAGAGGCCAGAAATAAACCCACATTATATGGACAGTTAATCTACAACAAAGAAGCCAAACATATACATAGAAAGCAAAGTCTCTTCAACAAATGGTGCTGGGAAAACTGAACAACCGCAAGCAAAGGAATGAAACTAGACCACTATCTCAAACCTTACACAAAAATTAATTCAAAAGGTATTAAAGATTTGGACCTGAAACCATAAAATACATTGAAGAAAACACAGGCAAAATACTCCTTGACAATGACTTCAATGATGTCATTGTAGATATGTCTACAATGTCAAGAAAAATAAGAGACTATAAAGAAATGGGACTATATCAAACTAGAAAAGTTTCTACACAGTGAAAGAAAATATAACTAAAATAAATAGCCTATTGAATGGGAAAAAAATTTTTGCACATCATACATCTAATAAGGGGTTGATATCCAAGATCTATAAAGAACTCACGTAACTCAAGAAAAAGAAAACAAATAACCCAATCAAGAAATGGGTAGAAGAACTAAACAGTCTCTTCTCCAAAGAAGACATATAGATGACCAACAGTTGTTTACAAAAAAAATTGACATCATAAGGAATATGATAATAACCACAATGAGATACCATCTCACTCCTGTGAGAACGTCCCAGTCACATACTGGCCGAGACGTGGAGAAAATGGAAACCTCTTCCATTATTGGTGGGAATGCAGACTTCAGGAAAGCAGTATGGAGGTTTCTCAAAGTATACCACAGGAGGTACAAACCTGAAGAATGAAAGGACACTAATTCAAAGGAATATATGCACTACTCTCTTCACTGCAGTGCTATTTACAATAGATGAGTTATGGGAACAACCAAAGTGTCCAGGGACAGTTGAGACTATAAAGAAAATGTGGTATATTTACAAAGTGGAATACTCTCCCGCTATTAGAAAACGATGAACTCTTGCCATTTGTGACAACATGGATGAAACTAGAGGAAAAAATGAAAACTGAAATAAGTGAGAAGGAGAAAGACAAATATCATATGGTTTCACTTACCTGTGGGCCGTAATGAAATGTAACAAAGGTAAGTGAAAACCAACCCAAAAAAAATGAAAACAAATCCTAGTAATCTGGCTGTAAGATTGAGAATGCTAGAGAGGGGGAAGGACAGAGAACAGTGGGAGGAAGGGATGTAATAGATTGTGTTGGAGGAATATGGGCGCCCTGAAGATGGGTGTGTTGTGGCAGCACGCACCTGAAGATAGGGGACCCCATAATTGTGAATCATATATAGTGCTGTAAACCAATGTCACTGTAAGAAGAAATTATGACAAACTAACTCTACTCTTATTTCTTAATATACAACAAAATTTATAAAAAGATTCTACAACAATACATATCCTCCTCTTTATTCTTAACCCACCTGCTAAGAAGTCTGCCACTTTATCCCACTTTATAAAATTAGAAGGGTGACTAAACTTATCATCAAGGAAGAAAACATTAAGAACTAACTAGTAATTTGAGACCTCTAAAAATACTCTCGTCAAGAACATTTAAAAGTACAATGAAAAAAAAAAAACTGCTAGAAAAGAAGTGATAGAAGACTTTATTCTACATTATATAAGCCAAGATTACCACTTGACATACCCATCATTGGGAAGAAATGCAATAGTGGAGGTTTCCTAAAATTCATTGGCTCTACAATGCACAAGAACCGGATACTCATTTGGGCTGGGTGTTGTTGGGAGAGCCTTGACCTTAGGATGTGTTTGGACAGGGTTAAAGAGATTATTCAAAGTTAAGAAAAGCCCATAAATAGAGCAAAGGAAGGGCTAGAGAAATGAAAATGTATGCCACTACTGCAATCTCTATACCAAAGGTCAGTTACACAGGGCAGCCCACTGCCAGGTATTAGAGTACCAGGAGCTGCAAACATCATAGGACCTTGCTGAGTACAAAGGAATAAAATAGGTGAAGCTGAAACAGACTGCAACCTTGAGAATTTGCAGAAACACTGGAGGCTGTGATTTGGAAAGACCCCAATGTTCTAAGTTAATCCTTCTTGCTACACTAAACAGGTCTACAAAAAATATTTTACATGAAAACTACAATAAGAAATGAGACTTTACAACTCAACACACATACATGTATACACATATATACAACAAACGGAAGTTTCTCTAAATAACATCTATCCTTATTAAGCGTGGCATACACTATTATTTATATTTGGATTCATTTATTTTTCATGTAAAAAAAATTTCTGGATCCAGGGCCTCCCTAGTGGCACAGGGGGTTAAAGTCTCAGCACTACCAAGCTATTGCCGGCTGCTGCAGCCTGAGTTTGATCCCCAGCCAGGGAGCTAACCCATATATGGTACAGCAGACCTCTCCTGTCTCACCTGCTGCTCCCTTCAGTAGTGTATTTCAGTCAGCCTGCCTGTTCTGCTCCCCACTCTGTCTCTGGTGAATCTTCTCACACCCTGCACTTCTGGCCTATACCCCAGTTCTTGTATGCATAATAAATAAAAATAAGTCTTGAAGAAAAAATTGCTGGATCCAACCCACTAAATTGATTTTAGAATCCCCCACTAGATTATGCCCTGCAGTTTGACAAACATTGTGCTGAAGGAGACACCACCTGACTTAGGACACAGGTATAAAGTAAGTGTCTCAAGGGTCTGGTGAGATCATAGCTCAGTTTGTATCTATTCCCCTACATATTTCCCCCACTATTTGAAAATAGACCATTTTTATTTGGTATGATTTGGCAAGTTATTTTTTGGGTGTGGAAACACTATTATCATCAATTTATATGGAAAAAATTTTGAGATCCCAGGCCTGAAAAAGCCTACCAAATCTTATCAAATGGATCATTTTACTTTTATATAGCAGGAGAAACCTGTATAGGTCAAATTTCTGAATTCTCTCACTTGCTTTGAAATATGTTTCAAACTAGTCAGCCATTAAGTCTTTCTCCAACGAGCTAACCCATTTTCCCAACTTTAACTTCTACAATGCCTCCTCAATAATCTGCACACCAGTAAAACTGATGCACCTGCTCTGCCCTTTCCAAATTCCAGATTTTCCAGTTCTGCCTATCCTTGAAATTCTTTTCTCCTCCATGAATCCAAAATGCTCTGCTCCTCTAATGATGAGTTCAACCAAACTTTCCAACACAGAACTTCTCCTGCCTCCAGAATTCTAAGCACTTTGTCCTTTCTAATTTATCTTCCATTCATATACACCTACCACCAACCCATTTCCCATGTCACCACATTGTCATGCTCTCAGAACCCAAACACACCATTTCAAAAAGAAAGACATTGGTATATACTTTCTGTGTTGACTAAACTAATGAGGATGCATCTTCCATATAGGAGAAAACACCCAACCAGGGTCTGTTGGGGCTGAAGAAAAAAATCTCAGTCAGGGTCCAAACTACCAAGAACCCCTCAACCAAACCTAGAACCTTGCATTCTCTGCAGCAGTTATTGTACCTTCAACCTTTAAAACAATGGGTATAATAAGCATTATATATGACACTGAATGCTTATTTTAATATTTTTAGAAATTGTTTCAATTAAAAAAGTAGCATGATTTTAAATTAGAAATTTAGCAATAATGCCAGGATTATAGGTTAACTTTTCTTGCTTAAAATCTAATCTTCATACTCAGCAAAAGGAACAGATCCTCTCCCTTTGCCTGGTAATGACAGGACACAAGGCTTACTGGCCTTCCTGTCTCAATCACCTTTGGATTACCATATAATTTTGATTAAGTTATTTCCATCTCATTTCAAAAAACGAACTTTTCAAATCATCTTATAATCATGCATATTCATTTCGATCTCTCCCATAGTATATAATACAAAGAAAACTTTCTTAAAACTAAGTTAGAAATATTCGCATCAAAATACCATAAAGCTGTATGCAATATATGTTAAATTGATCTTCTAATAGTTCCTTCATTTACAAATATTTATCTAGTAACTGCTATACATTCAAACACTGAGCTAGGAGCTAACCTCAGAGAATTCTGAGGTACTCTAATGAAAATGCCACACTTTCAAAACAAAGAAGATAATGAGATAATAGATCCAAACTCACTGTTTGAACTGAAAATCATACATATACACTCATACTTCTACAAGGATACTACAAAGAACCAGTAATTAGTAAAAAAGAAAGTTCTAAATCCTAAAGATAGTCTCACAGTAAAATAGTTCAACAGGTGTAAAAATGGAAATTGTCAAAAAATGGGAAAAAATGTAAAAACCTTTAGAAAATGTCAATCTTTAAGTTTTAAGAAGATTATTCAGCTATGAAATAGTTAAATATCAAACATCTGCATAAAATACATTTCTATTTTAACATTAGCAAAAAGCCATTAACACTATTTGACAGTGGTCTTTTCCTTTATATTTTATATAAGCAATATATAGTGCTTATGTTTAAATGCCTATAAATATTTAGAATTTATCAAATAACCTCCATCATGTTCTATCTAACTCTCTACAGTTACTTTCAGCCTGGCTGGCCATGCGAATGATGAAATCATCCAAATGGGCAGTGATTTTATACCTATAAGCAGATATATTAAAAACGGTGTCACTATAAAAATGAACTCTAAGATTATTCATTATTGTATATATTATTGTAAACACATATAAAATCTTAATAGTCTTACCTTAAATATGTGCCATATATGAAGAATAATGCCATCATTAGTCCATTTAAAATAAAAATTACAGCAACATAAAAGCAAGCGGGATCTCCCAATCCTTTAAAAATAAACAAAACACATACCCCAACTATAAATTAGTTAATATGTTTAGCAATTTGTAATAAAATGTACTTCTTTTGAAAAAGGCTACCATATATATTAATATACTAAATGACCCTACGGAGAACATAAGGAAGAATAGGGTAGCTATGGTGGTTTTAAAACAGGGCTACAAATTCACTGACACTTCGCCTGTGGACTTATGGAGTCTATGCCCCAGCTTTAGAGCTTAGTTGGGTTTGTGACTAACTAATAGAGAACTGCAGAAGCCAAAGTATGTGACTTTAAAGCTAGGTCACAGAGGTTACACAGTGTCCAGTTTGGAGCCATGAGCTGCCGTATGACAAGACTGACTACCCTAAGGAACCATGCTAGAAAAAAGCACATGTTGCATGGAAAGGGCACTCTCTGGTTGACAGTCCCAGAGGAACCCAGCTTTACCATCATGGTAGCTCAGGACACAGAATGTAAGTGTAGCAGCATCCAGTTAATTCCAGTCTTTACAGTCTTTTGAGTCTTACTAACAGAGGCCTCTGATATCACGGAAACAAACCAACCCTACTATGCTATGCCCTGCCCAAATTCCTGACTTGAAGAATACATATGCATAATGGGTATTGTTTATACCATAAGTTTGGAGTAAGGTTTAATGCTATAACAGATTACTAGATATTATCACAGAAACACACTTGCCTTCACAGCTTTCAATAGGACTGAGTCCTTCACCTCTGGTAACCGTCCAACATATCTTGGTTTGAATGCCAATCAAGTCCATTATTTTAGTATAAATCCGGTACCAGCTGGCTAAAATTACCTGGTTTTGAAAACATGGAGATATCGTAAGAAAAGGTATATCCTCAATAGTTTCATTATTAGAATATTTTGAGCTATTTTTCTAATTATCAAATTTCCCCTTCCAGTACAATCCAACTTGGGAACTTTTATTTATTTATTTTTTTAAAGATTTATTTATTTATTTATACAAGCACTGGGTACAGTCAGAAGCGCAGCAGGGTGAGAGAATTCACCAGAGCCAGAGCAGGGAGCAGAACACGCAGAGTGACGAAGTACACTGCTGAGGGGAGCAGCGGGCGGCAGGAGAGGTCTGTGCGCCAAGTGGGACCCTCCTCCGTGGCCAGGGAGCAGCCGGGGATTGAACCCGCACTTCAGAGGCTGCAGGCAGCCTCGCAACCCAGGGCTCAACCACTGTGCCACCGGGGAGGCCCCAACTTGGGAACTTTTAAACCTAGTAAATTGAATATCACAATCCCCTCCACAGACTTTTGACTAGTCAGTCTTCAATTGTTTACCCAAGGAGAAGAGTAAAATATAAGAAATATGTAAAATACATCATTTTCAAAAACTATAAAACTCTACTAAAGCACATGAAAGAAGACTTGAAAAAACAGAAAGATACTTGTCTTCATGAATAGACCTAATCTTCAAGCTGTAAATTCTCCTCTCAATAAACATTAAAATAATAAGAAAACCCAAGTATCTATCTATAGATGTCATGTGGACAAATAACGAAAAAGATACAACTGGGAGGATATCCTAATAAAAATTAAAATTGATTATTTGTAATAAATTAAATAGTGTAGTACTGGCCCAAGAAGAGTCAGACAGAGCAAAGTAACCAAGGCGGAGGCACTGGGGTATCACCCAGACTCCACTTCCAGGCTGAGCACTCATTCTCCCACCAGCTAGGAGGGCTGGTGTCTAAAGTTCTCAGTTGAGTCCTTCTCTTAAAACTACCCTCTGCTGACGAGAGTAAATTCACTGAAAGTCTACCCTGTACCCAAGGGTAACCTTACCCAATATCTGACTACTCAAAGGGGAGGAATGCCAAGGGCAGCAGCCCTTGTCTCAAAGTAGGAAAACTGCAAGGCCATGCTGGTTCCAGAGCTCTTGGGGGATGGGCTGGGGCCTTTGTTGTGACAGTATCACAGCTCCACTTCTCCTCCTGCCTCACCCTGCTCTCCTCATACACTTCTGCATGCAAATACCAACTCAAAGCTAGTTTCCCAAGACCTCGACCTAAGGCAATACTTAACACAGTTCAAAATAGAAGCAGGCATATATATATATATATATATATATATATATATACAATAATTGTAAATAATAAAGAAAGCTACCTCAAATCAGTAGGGAGAAGATGGACCACTCCTCAAAGAGGTAACACAGATCATTTTGAAAATATTAAGAGGTTAGATTCTACCCCATATTATACATCAAAACAAATTCTAGATTAATTAAAAATGTAGATATCAAAACTATGATTATAATATTTATGCAAAATAAATATTTGTAAATATATGAGTAAAAAAATTATATATTAAACTTCCATAGGTGTATTTCTTTTTTTTAAAAAAAAGATTTATTTATTAATGCATACAAGAGCTGGGTATAGGCCAGAGGTACAGGGAGTGAGAGGATTCACCAGAGACAGAGGGGGGAGCAGAACAGGCAGATCTACTGAAATACACTGCTGAGGGGAGCAGCGGGCGAGACAGGAGAGGTCTGCTTCGCCATGTGGGTTGCTCCCTGGCCTGCCGGGGATCGAACTCGTGCTGCAGAGGCTGCGGATTGCCTCACTGTGCAGTGCTTAACCCCTTAAGCCACCAGGGAGGCCCTCATATCTGTATTTCTATACAGAAAAAAAATATACACATCATACATAAAGCTACAAGGCAAACAAAAAGCTAGGGGAAATGTTTTATACAGTCAGCACAGCACTGACATCTAATATATAACTAAGGAGCTCTTACAAGACTTCTACAGAAATATAGACAAAGGGCATGAACAAGCAATTATTCTTTAAAGTGAGAATGCATTTTAATATACAGTGCTGAATGAAATACAAACACACAGAGTAACAAGTGAAATATATCATGTAACTCTAATTTCTTTGTCTATCAAATTAGCAAGGATGCAGGTAAACCAAGCACTGCTAGTGGGAATTTCAATTAGTATAACCTACCTGGAAAGCACTTTGACAGCATGTAGCAAAATAAAATTTACCAAACTAAATAGTTTCACATCAACAAATTTATAGTTTAAAAAAATAAGGATGTGTATAAAGATTTAGTTTCAAAGAGACTAACTGCAGCTTCATTATATCTACAAGTTGAGAAAAAGACAGATTTTTCATAAGAGGGCTAAACAAAAAATGGTATTCTGTACATATAGCCACTAGAAATGATGTGGTAAAGAGATGACATAGTAAGATGGTTATATTCTTAAAAGACAAAAGGCACTTAGGAAAAAAAATGTGCTGCACGATCCCATTTTTCCTATATGAGTCCATTTCTGTGAAAGTAAATGTGTATACAGTTATAGAAAGTACTCAATCAGCAGTACATTAGTAAGGAAACACTAGACCTTGGTGATTAATTATTCATCTCTAACTCCTCTATCTCTGTCTCCTCATTAATCAATTGGGCTAACTCATTGATCTGGAAGTTCAACTCCTCCTCTTACTCAATGGGAAATGACTGACAGCCCTGCTAAGTGCTGGGACTTAGCCAAGATTGGGGAACCCACAGAGACCAAGTCAGCCGTGGCCCTGCTATCAGGCCACAGCTGCCTGGCAGCATTAGCTCTTGCTAAGAAGCAAGAACACTGGGGAAGTGTGCTGAACAGGAGAAGATATCATTATGGAAATCACATCTCAGCTCAGGCCCGGAAATGCTCAGGAATGTATCAACTGAAGGCAGGGATGTTAAGAAAGACCAAAAAGGTAAATATCACTGTTTTTTTGTGTCCTAGATAAGCCCACCTTTTCCCCATCCCCACCCCATTCAGTTAAATGAGGAACCCCATATAGCAAAAAAGACTGTTTGGCAAATGACATGTAAAAATAATGATGTCCTCCTGCTATAGCCCCTAAAAGCATACTTTAAATCTAGAAAGGTTATACATTTTCTAAACCAAACAATCATGATAATAATTCTCACAGAATCAGTTAAAGCTCCTCCAAAAATAACGCTTTTTCCAACATTTTTTCCAAGGAAAAATATTTTCTTTCAAAAAAAAGTGTAATTACACTTTAAGTTAGAATCAGTAGTAAATGCAGGTAACATTTCTTTAAAGTTGTTCAAAATCACATCTGGATAAGTAACTTACCTCAGGGTAGAGATTGAACCTTTTTAATGTGTTAATAACAAGAGGATATTCAGTCAGCTTATCATTCATAATCATCCACACTCCATTAAAAAATGAGGGTGCTTCCACAATAGTCTTGAAATAAGAATAATAGAGCCCCTGAAACAAGTAAAGTTATGATTATAATAAAAAGTACATGTTTCCTATGCCTTTTATTAACTTTAAAAAAACTTAAAAATACACTGTTTTTGAAAAATGAAGCAATTGAGCAAGTAATAGCCACCATTAATTTCACAGGTTTCTGATCACTGAAATTCTTAGTTTGCCAAAAACGCTATATATTTTATATAACCTTGCCTTAACTGAAAACAATTGAGCTCAAAATAGCTTCAAAAATAGGTTTGTTTTGGAGTCATGTAAATATCTTAATTATAAAACAAATTTTTAATCCCTAAATACTAAAAAAATAAAAGGAATTAACCTATCAAACTGGGGGAGGATTTCAAATCTTAAAATATACTAATTTTACTACACATACCCAGTGGAAAATACCCTAAGGTCAAAAAGAACTGCAATAAAGTCTTATAATAACCATATTTTTAATAATACCTTGGTACTCATCAAAAATAAGAAATCCAAAATCAAGGTTCTCAGACTAACAGAAAAGTTATACATTTCCTCTCAAGAAAAAAGTAACCTACGTAATCCTAAATTTGAATTTAAAAATAATCATTATTTTCTCTTTAAAAAAAGTTTACAAAAAGTTTCTTTATACAGTTTACTAAAAAGGCCTAGCCACAAAGGTCAATGTAGTAGCAGTGGGAATCTCTAGCGCCGAAAGTACAGTCTTCAAATACCATTTTCACTGAAAGGAATGAGGCTCCTTGGAATACCAGGTGATTCCATGGAGAGGAAATGACTAGTAGAACCAGAAAGTTAGGAAATTAGAATACCCATGAAGTCATGTCAAGGGGACAGAGAGCCAGCTGTGAGGGCTCTCACCAGCTAGACAGAAAAGTTTTCTAAACGTATTAAGATCCATCAGAGCATAACGATACTCAAAAGAAGGGACTCCACTGAATACTAAAAGATGCTGGGGAACCAACTCATTTTTCTGAAGAGTAGTAAACAGAGAATCATTCACTTTCTTCTGATTTATTTTCTCTCTCTTTTTATTTTGTGGGACCCTCGCCGGTGGCTGGGGATCGAACTGGCGCTGCAGAGGCTGCGGGCAGCCTCGCAACCCGGCGCTCAACCACTGTGCCACCAGGGGAGGCCCTCTTCTGATTTCTTTCATTGTCTTTTCTGTCTGAAGTGTACCTCAGAGAAACCAAAAAGGTATTGTGGACAAGTTTATTTTGTATAGAATTACAGTTAATAAATGCATAAAAAATAACAGAATAGGCCATCACCATTTGGCAATCCTATGGAAATAGCTGATGTAGGCTGATGGTTGGACTGTAATGGAGGGATCAGCATGACAATATCATAAGCCACTGATAAATTTGAACATCACAGATAACAGTCTCTTGACATTGCACAAGTGCACAGCATCACCTATGAAGTATTTCTCCCTGGGGAAAAAAAATCAAACCTTCATCTGATCTATCAATTTTCCAGAAATTTAGGACAGTGGAATATAAAATCAACATAAATTTCTGTGGGTAAATCTACAGGACAAATGATGTGGATTCTTCAATAAGTAAATGCAAGGAAAACAAAGCTACAAAAATGGGAAGCAGAATTTATAGATTAAAAGACCCAAAAGACACATCAACTAAATACAATGATTAGACATTGTTTGCATCCTGACACAAACATACCAACACAACAACTGTAGTAGTAATAAAAATATCAGATCACTTTAAGCACTGGTGGGTATTTGATGATGTTAAACAATTGGCATACACTGTTCTCAGTGTGATAACGGTACTTTGTTAACCAAAAAATTCTTTCATTTGAGATACGTATGAAAGTATTTTCAGAAGAAGTGATATGATGTCTGAGGTTTTCTTTAAAAAGAAATGGGATGTGGGAGAGAGGTGGGGAGAGGGAGAGCTGTCTATTCTCTCAACTTTGGAATATCTTTGAAAATTCCCATGACAAAAAACTTCAAGTTTTTAGATTTCTAAAACACCATGTGAAAACTAACCATTTCCGTGCGAAAAGCCATCTCTCTTTCCAATGTTGAGAGGTGAGAGAAATGACGATCATTTTCAAAGAGGTGTGTTATATGACTCCTGCAAAAACAAAATAGCAAAAACCAACAGTGTTGAAATTTATACACAGTAATACTTTTAAAAGAAAATTTGCAGGTAATTTTGTAATTAAACTCAAATATTATGTCATCCATATCTGTTTGCCTACTTAGTATGTCTTATGTTTCTACTGAAATTTATCTATTTAAGAAAAAACATTCAAATTAGATTTCAAAATTAGAATGAACTAGAATAAAAATATTTTAAATCAAGTACAATAAAATTATAAATTATGTTATAAATGTCACTGAGTTACCATTCAGTGATATCTAATGAAATTCCTATCTCTCTCCATAGAGAAGATTAAAAAAATTAATCTTCCTCTCAACATGAACACTATATTAATGTTAAACGAGGTACAGCTTCAAATATAGCCTCTTTAATAATGGAGCTCTTTCTTTAATTAAAAAAATCACATTATTCTAACCCTGATTTATCCATTAAGCTACTTTTTCACACTGTTGTGTTGAATGTAATATGTATTCATCCTTATCATACTGAAATTATTCCTTTATATATGCATATGTAAATACATACACATATGAAGTATACATATATGTACATATACACACAAGTACATATATACATAAACCAATAGTTTTGTTTCATTACAAATAACTGCATAAAATACACAATAATAGAAAAACAATCTTACCAGTGCAACACTGCTGCAAAGGCAGCTGGAAGAAAAAAGAAATTGAAATTATTGTTTTAACATAACAAAATATTTTCACTTTACAGACAAGCATTACAAAGACAAGCTTGGTAAATTTTGTGATGTCTAAATGTTGGACTTTTAGGAATAGGGGAAAGAATATTGACTTGAAAAGACACCTCAGGACTATGCTTAAAATACCAATTGACTGGGGGCCTTCCCTGGTGGCACAGTGGTTGAGCGCTGGGCTGCAAAGCTGCCCACAGCCTCTGCAGTGCCGGTTCGATCCCCGGCCGCCTGTGAGGGTCCCACACGGCGCGCAGACCTCTCCTGCCACGCCCGCTGCTCCCCTCAGCAGTGTATTTTGTCAGTCTGCCTGCTCTGCTCCTTGCTCTGGCTCTGGTGAATTCTCTCACCCTCCTGCACTTCTGACTGTACCCAGTGCTTGTATAAATAAATAAATAAATCTTTAAAAAAATATACCAATAGACTGGATTATAAAGCAATTAGGTATATACACACAATTTTCATTCACTAATTCGCTAAATATCAGAGGGTCTATCAATTGTTAAAAGCTAAATAAGGGACCCTCAGTGGAGACCCTACAAATAAATTAATGTAAGAAGAATAGAACCAATGGTGTGAGGTAACTTAGAAAAAACGACAGGGTGACCTCAGGGGAAAAAAACTGGAGATAGAAGAAAGGGAACTACCACCTTCTATTGCACTGCTACATCATCTGAATGTTTATGATAAATTTTACCATTTTTAAACAGATGTAAAAGGAAACCAGCAAAGAAGAAAGGAAGAGATGAAGGAGTAAAAGAAGAAAAGGTAAGAGAAAGGCAGATTAGTCACAAAATCAGTTTGAGACTTCATGATTTGCTTTCTGTCCAAGTACGAAAAACATATGAAGACAACTCCAGAAAATACCATTCAAGTTTCTCATATCACAATACTCATCTTATTGCAGGCTTCTGATGAAATAACTCCTAAGGAATCAAACTATGAAGGTACTCTCAGAAATAAAAAAACAGCTCAGATCTTTTTTCCTCATTCTTTAAAAAGTATTGATATTTTTAAAGATTACAAATACATTTTTGTCTAGGCAATACAAATGGTTATAAAAAAACAAAGGCATTCCCATTTTTAGCTAGATCTCCAAAATTGCAAATATTTAACTAAATTTGTCAAATGTTTTGAAATAGTACTTTGATTTTTTTAATTTTTTTTTATTGACAAATCAACCATCCCCTTTCTTTTTTGGTTTCTGACTTTGAAGACTTTATTTCACCATAATAAATTTGGAGTTTTATTTACTCAATGATGTAACAATAATGCTCTGAATGACTTTCTCTCACTGAATGCAAATGGCACCTTTATCATACTGAGAACTAGTCATATACTTTGGTAATACCACTGAGATTATAGTTGGAATTTGATTTGCAAATTAATTTGGAAAGGATCTATATGTTTAAATTTCCATGTTCATATCGATAAACATGGTATTTTACCTTCAATTATTCAACTTGCTTTTCAATTGCCCTTGATAAAAATCCTATCAGTAGAGTTAATACATAGTAATACACAGTAAACTTAATATTTCTTATTAAGTCTTTCCCAGGAGTCTCACAAGTTTTGCTGCTAAAATCCATGAAATCATCTTCACCGAATATTGTTAATGTGCAATTTTTGAAGAGTATTTATGTTGTGATGTATTTATTTTGGGCTCATTTACTAAATTATTAATTCTCACAGTTTTTTGGTTTATCATCTTCAATTCTCCATTCTAAACAATATTTAAAAGTGTTAATTTTGTTCCTATTTTATAATTTTACCGTTTCTTCTTTACATTTGACAATAACAGTAAACTCCTATTATAACACTAAATAATTCTAAAAGGGAAATAAAGGGCATCCTGTCTTCTGCTGACTTAAACAGCAATGCATTTAAATTAACCTTTGATCTTCACAATTCTGGAGTGATAAATGGGATTTCTAAAGATCATCATTTCTCTATTTCCTCAGAATACTACAGCTTCTCAGAAGTAGGATAAAAGGTGCAATATGGTTTTTTGTGGCTAACTTTAATGCCTTTAACTCGGTCTCTAAGGCACTAGACAGGAAAACCCCTGGAGTTCTTGGTATTCAAATAGCGTTCTTTCATAGTCTCCAGAGTCAATTCATAACCTGCCCAGTGTTTTGAATATCTTTAATAACAGTAACTAATAAAACAGCTAACATTTGAATTCATATTAAATAAAAGGCACTTTTTAGTTGTTTTAACTTGAACAAACCCAATAAATCCTCACAATTATCCTATGAGGTAGGTACATATATTTCCCCAGTACAGATATGACAAACTGAGTGTTCAGTGAAGCTCAGTTACCTGGCAAAGAAACACAACAGGCAGACACACACACTGTGGAGGCAGAACCTCTGGCTGAGTCCTACACCAGGCACTGGTGGCCTGAGGAGGAGGGACAAAGGTTTAGGTCTCCAAAGTGTCATAGCCCCCTCTTCTTTTTGGTTTTTAATTTTAACAGTAAAAGAAAAAAGTTGCTAATACAGCATCTGCTAATACAGCACATTTATAGACACTAATAAATTTTATATAAAACACAGTCATGGTTTTAATTCACTCAAAATTGAATATATTATATGTTTATGTCATCTGAAAATAAAAACCCCAGTGAAGCAGATACTGCCCTGCATGAATATAATTTAAATCCAAAGATATAAAATGAAAAAAACTCCTGAGGCACCCCTGAAGAACTTGCCTACAGTAGGAAAGATTATTAGTGATTTTTCTCTAATTTATTCCAGTGTGTATCAACTCAGACTATATTCTTTTGGGAGTGCCATAAAATTGATAGTCTATTTTTTCCATTTTATACATATGCTATTTTTTTTTAGCATTCGAAGACACTTAAGTAAATATGTTATTTTAAAAGTCAGAACATAAAAAAACTTTCCAAAATCCCAAACATTATCTGTAAGAAAAAAGTGTTCACAGAAAGGTTTGCTTTGTAATCTAATTCAAAAGACTGGAATCCTATGGCTGAGAATTTTTGAAAGGCTCTTCATGTTTTGCTAGAAACACATAAACTACCACAACTGAGACTAAATAGGACACTCCTTCCACTCTCTGATTAAAAATTGTGGCAGATTATATGCCACATTGATATCAATTTTCAGTCTTACGGAATCTGAGCACCTCCTTCACTGAAAATTATCCTTCCGTTGTTCAAATCATGTTTAAACAAAACCAAGTATAACTCTCTGAGGGCAGAAACAATGTTTTACTGAACTAAAGTTCAGGAAGCTGAGCACAGAGCCCAGCTCAAATGTTTGCTGAATTAATATATACAGCTTGATATAATTAAGGGAGGGAATAAAATAAACCTAAATCATATCGCCATAATAAAGCAAAGTCAATATACTTTGACAAGATGGATAAATCCACTCATGTGCATATAATAGATTTTTTTTTTCAAAAATTATTTTTGTCAGAGAGAGACTTTATTTTAGATCCCTCTTCTATAGGCAGCAAGCTGCCTAAGCCTCTGGATTTCTGGGCCTTTCTCCCCACAACAGGAGCTGAAGCCTCTATGGGAGGAGACAGAGGAAGAGCGGCAGGGGTACAGGGCCAGGCACTCTCTTCTGCAAGTTCAGGAGCATTTCCCAGTCTGGCCTGTCTCACCTCTACTCCTTGAGAAGCCCCCTCCCTCCTTCCAGTCACAGCTCCCAGGGCCAGCTGCACCAGTGTTCTTGCTCTCCAGATGGACCCAGCAAGTCTACAGTCTACCCAGCAAGAGGGGAGGAGATGTCCCCTGCTCTTGCCACCTTACCTGGCCCTGTAGTGGTTGTCTGCAAGGAGGACAGAAGACAGAAATGGGAGAGGGAATTCTTCCCCACTGTTGAACTCCATCAGCAAGGTCTAATGCATTTACTCTCCACAAGCAGTGGCGCCTCCAGCCTCCATGCCTGCTCTGACCTTCTCTTTCATTCTCCTCTCCTCCCCAAGTTGTTTGGGTGCATGTTAGAAATGCAAACCCTTGGGTCCCATCCTAGACTCTTTGACTCCAAATCTACATTTTAATAAGACCCCTCAGATATCTGTATAACACATATAAGGGCAATGTTCAGAATCACCTGGAAACTATGACTATCACTAGGTCTGGCATTGGGAGGATTCTAATATGCAAGTATTGTTAAGAATACTGATCCAGGGCCTTCCCCAGTGGTGCAGCAGGTTGAGCACAGTGCTGTGAAGCTATCCACAGCCTCTGCTATGCCGGTTCCATTCCCAGCTGGCCAGGGAGAACTCTCCTATCTCACCTACTGCTCCCCTCAGCAGTGTATTTCGGTCCTTCTGCCTATTGTGCTCCCTGCTCTGTCTCTGGTGGATTCTCTCACCCTCCTGTGCCTCTGGCCTTTACCCCAGTGCTTGTAAAATAAATAAATATTAAAAAAAAAAAATACTGATCCAGTTAGGACTGGAATCAGTTAGGACTGCATCTCTGCACCTCCATTCCCAGAGATCCTGAGTCAACAGATCACTCTAAACTTGGAAATTTGCATTTTAAACAAGTTTTATTAGGAAAAACAAAAGACAAAAACAAACGATAAATGACAAATGTAAATTCAAAAGCTACTCTCAAGGAGAATCAAGAAAATCCTGATAGCTGAAAACAACAAACGGTTAAGAAAGGGAAAGAATTAAAATTAAAAATCAAAATCTTTTTTACTTTCCCTAGTAAGTCATTTTTTTTTTTATATAGAGGCATGTTTTTTATTTATTTGTTTGTTTGTTTGTTTGTTTTGTTTATACATGCACTGGGTACAGTCAGAAGCGCGGGAGGGTGAGAGAATTCACCAGAGCCAGAGCGGGGAGCAGAGCAGGCAGACTGACGAAATACACTGCTGAGGGGAGCAGCGGGCGGCAGGAGAGGTCTGCACGCCATGTGGGACCCTCCTCTGGTGGCCGGGGAGCAGCCGGGGATCCAACCAGCGCCGCGGAGGC